CTTGCTTGTGTGTTGGGCGTGGTTCGCTTCTTTTTTTTTTTTGCTTCCCCCACTGCCACCAGATGGTTTTCCAGTTCACATAGGACATTCAGCCACGAAGACCATGCACATGCCCCCACTGTCTTTGCAGAGTCCCCGGCCCCTCCTGTGTGGCGTGCGCGTGCGCGCCTGCGGCAAGGTGGCTGCCGCACTTTCTGGGCTGTGCATGGTCGTGGGTGCCGATAGGCGCTCTATTTTTCTTCTTCGCTGTACCGCACTTGTGCGCATCATGTGGATCAAGAAAGTGACAAAGGCATGGGCACAGGCACACATCGGATATCCTTTGGCCTTACCTCTCTCCGCGCCCCTTGGCCGAGGCAATATTTAGCGCTTGGTCCGCGAGTCGAACCAGGGCGACAGCCGGGCCGTAAAGCCCGAGGCGAGGGGAACGAACACCGGCTCGGGCGCGGACGGCCCCCCAGCGACATGGGTCTCATCCGGGGTGACGGTCATCACACGGCGGAGCTCCGCCTCGCAGGCCCATACCCGGGCCGCATCTCGCGCCGACCGGGGCCCGCCCTCCGGCACGAAGATGTCCACATCGCGTTCCAGCTCGCTGCCTACATGGCGCGCGATCCACTTGAACTGATGGACCAAAGTCCCCTCGGGAGTTGGCAGGCGCTCGGCCGCCAGCGGATCCACCGAGAAGACAAAGAGAATGTGACTGGCGGCCGGGTATTCGACATGCGCGAAGGCAGCCAGATCCACCACCGGGCCGTCGGCCTGGGCGGCGCCGGGGGACTCGGGCGCGCGACACGCCAGCCGGTCATAGATCGCCCCAAGCTGACGCCGGAGGGACTTGGCCGAGCTGCACGCCGACACCGGGACCACAGCTTCGGCCCCCCGGGCACGCAGAGCCTCGGCCGAGTGTAGCGACACCTGGTCGTGGTATTCGGCCGGCGACAGGCGTTCCAGCGCCGGGTCTGCATCAGACGGCCCGGCCTGGTGCCGGTGGACGTTGGTCCCGGCGCAGATCACCATGAAGCGCAGGTCCTCCAGCGTCGATGGCGATGGCACGGTCGCCGGGGGACGGTGGACATACGCCGCGACCCGGTCCACCCCGAGAGCCCAGCCGAAGGCCGGCAGTGGGGCCACCTCGCCGGGGGCCGGCTTCGCGCCTCCCGGAACCCCGGCGAAGCCCAGCTGCCCAGCCAGCATGTCGTACCGGCCACCCGCCAGCAAGGTCGAGTGGGCCGGGGCATCGGGAGCCGACCCAGACCCCGGGACAGTGGCCCCTCCGCCGGCGCCCACTTGCGTCGGGCCACAGTGGGGGATGATCTCAAAGACCAAATCATTGTAATAGTCCAGCCCACGGACCAGCTGGTGATTGATGAGCACCGGTACGCCGGCCGCGCGCAGCGAGTCGGCCACCACCTGCAGGTGGTTGCGCGCCGCCGGGGAGAGGAAGTCCTCCAGCTTCGGGGCACCGGGTGCCGTGACCACATGCTGGTCCTCCGGGCGTTTGGAGTCCAGGACCCGAATGACGGCCGCCGGGCCGGCATCCACGCGCCGGCGGCTTTCGGCCGAGAGGTGCTCCACATGCTTCGACAGGAAGGCATGGAGGGCCTGGCGGAAGCGCGACCGAGCATCGGCATCGCCCAGCGAGTTCAGATGCACCTGGCACATGCGGCGGCAATCGTGGGGCGTGTGAGCGTGATGGGCGCCATTTGGAGCGAGGAGGGGAGACCTAGAGGGAGGGGCAGGTGCGGGGGGGG